ACCGTTTTGGGGCTATTTTGGGATTTTTGGGGCCGTTTTTGGGACACCTTGGGGACATTTGGTTACATTTTTTGGGGGATTTTGGGGAGGAGCCACTCACAGTCTGCAGCGCCTCCTGCACCAGGGCGTCCTCCAGGTTCTCCTGGATGTGCACTGGGAGAAATTGGGGAAAAAAAAGGGAAAATTGGGAAAAAAATTGGAAAATTGGGAAAATTTGGGGGAAAAATGGGAAAAATCAGGAAAAAAATGGGAAAAAAGGGGTGGAATTGGGGAATATCCCCCCCCCCAGTGCTGCCCAAATGGTTCAGTCCGGCCAAGCCACGCCCCCTCCCGCAGGTCACGCCCCCTCCATTGCCGGCAATGAGCCCTCAGTGTGATAGACGCTCCCAAATAAGGGCATGGCCACGCCCACATAAGGTTGCATGCACGTAAATAGGGTCATGGCCACGCCCCTAGCATGTTACATGCAAATAAGGCCAATGGTCACGCCCCCAGAAGACTACCTGCACCCAAATAAGGGCATGGCCACGCCCCCAGTAGGCCACACATCCCAATATTAGTTAAATGGACACGCCCCCAGCAGGCTACACCCCAAATAAGGTAAAAGCCACGCCCCTTTGCGGCCTCCCGGGTATCCAGGCCACGCCTCGGGGCTCTGACCACGCCCACTTCACCTGCAGGCCACACCTCCCTTTCCTGTCACCTGTCCGGTCCCGCCCCCCTCATTAAGCGTTAATTAACCCGCCCATTTAATGGCCCCGCCCCTCTTACCATCCACCTCCTCCAGCTCCGCCCCCTCCAGGTCCAGCTCCGCCTCCAGCTCCGCCTCCAGCGGCGCCTCCATCGCCGCCACCTGCGGCACAACGGCCTCAGTAACGGCCGCGCCCCCTCCGCGATCCCAAAAACCTCCCGAATCCCCTCAAAAAAACCCCAAAAAACCCCAAAAAAAAACCCCAAAACCGCCCCGGGATCCCCCAAACCTCTCCCGCTGCCGGCGCTACCTCCGCCTGCGCCGCCATCTTGCTGACGCACGGCGTGTGACGTCACTTCCGCCTTCTTCTTCCCCCGGCAGAGCCCCGCGGAGCCGCAGCCATGGTGAGCTCCCGGGCGGGATCCGACGCCATCGGGGCGCGGGGAGGGCGACGGGCGGCGGGAAGGGCGCGGGGCGATGGCGGCGGCACCGAGGGAGGCGGCGGGGCGGGAAGGGGGCGGTGGCGAGCGGCGATGGCGGCGGGAGGGGCGCGAATGTCCGAGCCCCCCCCTCAGGTGTCATGGCGGCCTTCGCTCCCCTCACGGCGGGCTCGGCTCGGAGCGGCCCCGAAACGTCCCCAAAGTGTCCCCAAGCCTATCCAGGTGTTCCCCAACCCCCTAAAATCGCCCCAAATCCGTCTGGAATTTTCCTCAACCCCCCCCAAAAACCGTCCCGGCGCTGTCCCCTCGCAAATGTCCCCAATGTCCCCTCGGTCGCTTGTGGTCCCCGAGGTCCCCAATGTCCTCAGTGTCCCCTCAATCTCCTCAGTGCTCAGTGTTCCTGATGTCCTCAATGTCCCCCTGTGTCCCCTCAGTCCCTGGTGATCCCCGGTGTCCTCGTGCTGTCCCCAGTGTCCCCACTGATGCCCAGCTGTCCCCTCAGTCCCTGCTGTCCCTAATGTCCCCGATGATGTCCCCAATGTCCCCTCAGTCCCTGGTGATCCCCGAGAAGTTCAGCACATGTTCCCAATGTCCCCAGTGTCCCCTCAGTGTCCCTAATGTCCCCTCAGTGTCCCCGGTGTCCCCTCACTGTCCCCTCAGTCGCTGGTGATTCCCGAGAAGTTCCCAACGTCCCCAGTGTCCTCTCAGTGTTCCCAGTGTCCCCAATGTCCCCTGAGTCCCTGGTGATCCCTGAGAAGTTCCAGCACATGTTCTCAGTGTCCCCTCAGTGTCCCCAATGTCCCCTCAGTCCCTGGTGATCTCTGAGAAGTTCAGGACATGTTCCCACTGTCCCTGCTGTCCCTAGTGTCCCCTCAGTATCCCCAGTGTCCCCCCAATGTCCCCTCTGTCCCCTCAGTCCCTGCTGTCCCCAGTGTCCCCTCAGTGTCCCCCCAATGTCCCCTGTGTTCCCTCAGTCGCTGGTGATCCCTGAGAAATTCCAGCACATGTTCCCAATGTCCCCAATGTCCCCTCAGTGTCCCCAATGTCCCCTCAGTGTCCCTAATGTCCCCTGTGTCCCCAATGTCCCGTGTGTCCCCTCAGTCCCTGGTGATCCCTGAGAAGTTCAGCACATGTTCTCAGTGTCCCCTCAGTGTCCCTAATGTCCCCTCAGTGTCCCCAATGTCCCCTCAGTCCCTGGTGATCCCTGAGTAGTTCAGCACATGTTCCCAATGTCCCTGCTGTCCCCTCAGTGTCCCCAATGTCCCCTCAGTGTCCCCAGTGTCCCCTCTGTCCCCTCAGTCGCTGGTGATCCCCGAGAAGTTCCCAATGTCCCTGCTGTCCCCAGTGTCCCCTCAGTGTCCCCAGTGTCCCCTCAGTGTCCCCAGTGTCCCCTCAGTGTCCCCAATGTCCCCTGTGTCCCCTCAGTCGCTGGTGATCCCTGAGAAGTTCAGGACATGTTCCCAATGTCCCCTCAGTCCCTGCTGTCCCCAGTGTCCCCTCAGTGTCTCCAGTGTCCCCTCAGCGTCTCCAGTGTCCCCTCAGTGTCCCCAGTGTCCCCTCAGTGTCCCCAATGTCCCCTCTGTCCCCTCAGTCGCTGGTGATCCCCGAGAATTTCCAGCACATGTTCCCAATGTCCTCAGTGTCCCAACGTCCCCAGTGTCCCCTCAGTGTCCCCAATGTCCCCTCAGTGTCCCCAGTGTCCCCTCAGTGTCCCCAGTGTCCCCTCAGTGTCCCCAGTGTCCCCTCAGTGTCCCCAGTGTCCCCTCAGTGTCCCCAATGTCCCCTCTGTCCCCTCAGTCGCTGGTGATCCCCGAGAAGTTCCAGCACATTCTGCGGGTGCTCAACACCAACATCGACGGGCGCCGCAAGATCGCCTTCGCCATCACCGCCATCAAGGTGACACTGGGGACACCTGGGGACACCAGTGGGGCTGGGGACACCGTGGGGACACTGCGGGGACAGCCTGAGGGCTGGGGACACTGCCAGGGGGTGGGGACACTGCGGGGACAGCCTGAGGGGAGGGGGACACTGCCGGGGGGTGGGGACAACGGCCTCAGTAAC